CCATACAGAAGGGCACTAGGAGGTTCTTCCCATACAACCATACAGAAGGACACTAGGAGGTTCTTCCCATACAACCATACAGAAGGACTCTAGGAGGTTCTTCCCATACAACCATACAGAAGGACTCTAGGAGGTTCTTCCCATACAACCATACAGAAAGACACTAGGAGGTTCTTCCCATACAACCATACAGAAGGACACTAGGAGGTTCTTCCCATACAACCATACAGAAGGACACTAGGAGGTTCTTCTCATACAACCATACAGAAGGACACTAGGAGGTTCTTCTCATACAACCATACAGAAGGACACTAGGAGGTTCTTCCCATACAACCATACAGAAGGACACTAGGAGGTTCTTCCCATACAACCATACAGAAGGACACTAGGAGGTTCTTCCCATACAACCATATAGAAGGTTACTAGTAAAGATGCATGGTGTTTTAATAAAGTGCAATATAGAATGAGAAGAAAGAAATATCTGGAAGTATGGTTCCTGATGCAAATAATTATTGGAGAGGGTGCAACCAAGGAACAAAAAAAAATAATCGTAATAAAAGTTTATTAAAAAGTTACAGATGCAAACTACTATCAACCAAATGTATTTCATATTTTTTTGACCACAGGTTTAATATATTCATTTAAAAGTTGGAATTTCAGGGATAGAAATATTGAAATAAAATGATATTCACTCGAGGGAAAGCTATGAGGAAGATTATATTCCCTCATCTAAAGTTGCATTTCCTCAGGAATTGTTTTTATTTAATCCATTAAATATGTTCACTTTCTTTGGTAATAACTAAAGGAATACACACAGGAAGGCCAAATAAAAAGAAAACATTCCTCAGGAATGTGGAAATGTCCTATTTCGATCCATAAATATTATGACTGTCAACTCTTTCTTTGTAAAATTCAAGGCTGTTGAGTCTTATTGCTTCTAGTTTGAGTTAATGCATCATAGTGTGCTAAATTATGCTCAGCAGGAGAATAAAGATATAATCAAACCAATATTACTACCTATTGGAAACTTCCTCACCAAAGAGTGAGTTTTTAAAATAAAGGCGACATACATCACAATCAGATTTGTTCTGTCCATGACTTCTGGCAATGCAGCTTATTTCCACCCATTCATTTACACATCTCTGGCCAACAGTGTATGAGTGCATCTTAATCTACAAGGGCCTGGTACTTGAGTTGTTTTATTTAATTAAAAGTTGAATTAATTCATCAAATGTAGCATTTCTATAACTTTTCTTATATCGTGTTAAAAAAAAGATTTAACTGAAGTAAAACATAACTATTTTCAGTTGTTGTTTTTTTATAAGATTTAAAATGACTTTTCATGGGAGGAATAGTGATCTTGCTAGATGGAAGCAAAGGTTCTGTATGTGGACTCTGTACATTAATTCTGTTGAAGATGTACAATGACCTTACTAGTGACCTTGTTGATGAAGTGTTATGATCTGTAGGCTTATTAGGGAAATACATTGACCTGATTAGAAAAACATGACACACATTATTTGACTAATGAGGTTGTGTGACCATTTCTATATATATTTCAGGTTTTCTTTCTTTTTCTTTTATAATACAGAAGTCCAGTGTTTGTAAAAAATATTCGTATGTCCTTGAAATTGTTAACACCATCTTTAAAGAATTATTATTTAACGTTAAAAATAGCTATATAAAACATAGTAGTTTAATGTATGCTTTATGTGCAAAAGTAATTATATAAGAACCTCTTATTTGTTAGAAGGTAAGATAATTAAACAATTCTACATTTTAATGAAACCTGATTTGTATGACAAGGTTCTTGGAGAAGAGGGACAGTGTATCTGGTATGGAACTTGTGGACAGAGTGACTTTGGAAAAGATCTCCCATGTCGGTATGATGGACCTCCTAAGCCATTAAGAAACAATAAAACAGTCTCCGACTTAAAGAAAATATGCCCTGAACTAGTCTCAGGTGAGGATTGAGGAAACTCATAGAAAACACTTGCAGTCAATTTAAGTTAATACAGTTTAGTTTCACTATTTAAAAATTTTGTATATAAATATTTTCAGTTTTAACTGAATTTATTTGATAATAGAAATTAGAAGACCACAACATTAATGTATTACACTAAAAACAAGTTTAGTGGTGTATTTAGAAGCTGACTGAAATAAATATTCTCTGTCCACTACAAGTGTTACACTTTTACATCTAAGTTTAGTGGAGTATTTAGAAGCTGACTGAAATAATTATTCTCTGTTCAGTACATGTGTTACACTTTCACATCTAAGTTTAGTGGAGTATTTAGAAGCTGACTGAAATAATTATTCTCTGTTCAGTACATGTGTTACACTTTCACATCTAAGTTTAGTGGAGTATTTAGAAGCTGACTGAAGTAATTGTTCTCTGTTCACTACAAGTGTTACACTTTTACATCTAAGTTTAGTGGAGTATTTAGAAGCTGACTGAAATAATTATTCTCTGTTCAGTACACGTGTTACACTTTTACATCTAAGTTTAGTGGAGTATTTAGAAGCTGACTGAAATA